TTCTCTCTGTTCCCGTCTTTGCCTACTAGTTAGCCAATCTTACTAGTTTCGATATTTTCACGAACATTTTAATGAATCGCCTTATATCATACTCATGCAACACCAGCGTCAACATGTTGACTATGCACACATAGTGCAAACAAGCGTGGGGTGTGTAAAAAACTCGGCGTGCCATCGTAAAATGATATCCGTTAATGGAAATAGAACATCCTACGTTAACTGGTTAAGAGCATTTCGTGTGCGTCAGACATGCAAAGTGAAAAACAAAATGGCCTAGTGTCGCTTACCGAATAGTTGGTTAAATAGTTCGCATGTGTAACTAGCGAAAGTCAGTTTGCGGAAATTGATTTCGCGTAACAATCGACATGGATATCATATTGGGTGACCTTGGGAATGGTGGTTTTGAGAATACTAGAAACTACACACTGGTAATGGCCATTGCTTGGACAATTATTCATGCTTTTGGAAATTATACTTCAGCGCCCTTGGTTATATCCCAGTATGCGAGCAAGCGTCAGAATCACGCTTACCAAGCGCAGCTTATCGACGCCTTAATGGTATATTTGCAGCGTCGGCACTATCGTATCTTCCTTATGGAACAGCAAACGCTATTTGGCAATGAGTCACGCTCTGACTGGGGGGATTTTTCAGAAGCTGCAATTTGGTTTATCGACAGCTGGAACTCCTTTGAGTAAGTTGATAGCACACGAGACCTCAAATGCTTCTAATGCTACATAACTATATTGTTATTTGTATACTCCCCAGGGCGCTAGCGATGGGTTTGGAAGATTCAAAGAGCACATACAAACGCAGTGGTTTGTTTGTACTCGTCTACACCGGCAACGAAAGCGAACGCTTAACAACAGTTAAACGTATATTCACCCGCTTTTTCGAACTTTTCGTTATAAATGTAAACATTTTCTTGCTAATGGACACAACTGCATTTGCCTACACCTATTTCCCATTTACGCCGAACAAATGTCATTCGCCCTAGCCCGACCTAGTGCTATCGTTTCGCAACAACCGCGCAAAGTTCAAACCCAAAAGTCACCAAAGATTTTTCCCCCCTAAAGTGCGCAATTTGCATGGCTGTGAGTTGGCTATAGTGACTTGGCACGCACCACCATTTATAATTTTGGATCAAGATCCGGATAGCGGTCGGATCAAATCGGTCGAAGGTATTGAGGGCTTGTTGATTACCATTTTAGCGCAAGTCATGAATTTTACTATAAAAATTGTGGATCCACAACCTCGGGATCGTGGAGCTATTTATGAAAATGGAACACTTACCGGCGTCACAAAAATGGTGAGTAGAAGTCCTCTTGCTGTAATAGTACTAATTTTAAGCTCTCGCATAATCCATAGATAGCCGAAGGCAACGGAAATATTACGATTATATGTATAATGTATGAGAAAAGACGTGCCCAAGTTATGGATGCAACTTTTTCGTACATGAGCTTTCCCTTGATACTCGCCATACCACATGGACGTCCCCTCTCTCCGTTGGAGCGTCTTTTTAGACCTTTTAAGTACATAATTTGGTCACTGATTTGCTCCAATATCGTCCTGGCCGTGCTTATCATATACGCACTCAAATTTCTAGGCAGCAGCCGAGTTGTCTCTTTTGTTTTTGGCAGCAGTAATCGAATTCCGTTCAGCAATCTGTGGGCCTCGCTTTACGGCAATGTTATTCATAATCAATTACCATATCGCAACTTTTCGCGATACCTCCTGGGCTTGTGGTTGCTGTGCACATTGGTTTTACGCTCCGCATATACTGGACAGCTTTTTATAATGTTGCAGGATGGGCGCGCTCTTATATCGTTAAAATCATTTGAGGAGATAGTCAAGCAGAACTACACGGTTAATACCGCACCAATATTGACCGATTTACTTAGTTCAACACTTGGCGGTGCGTCTATTGATTTTTTTGATGGCGATAAAAACACTATGCCTCAGATATTGAAACGGATCGCTAATGGTTCGAAGGAAACACTGACTATAATCGAGCCGGCATTGCTTTACTTCAACTATCAGCAGACCACGGAAGATGAAAGGGTAGCAATCCTGCCGCAAAAGTTGATTATGTCGCCGCTCACAATGTATATGCCAAAACATTCCTATCTGCTTTGGCCGATCAACAATATTATTCTCTATTTTATTGATGTAGGCATAATCGATAAATTTGAGAAAAGATATCGCTCGATTAACCAGATCAATGAATCACAGGAGCCTGTGAAGTTGTCACTGTTTCTGCTTCTGGCATATTTAGCCTCTATGGAGCCCTAATGATCCTGTGTATTTGATATTCCTCTTGGAGCTTTGGACAGTTCGATCGCCTTTGACTAAAACGCTGATGGATTTTTTGAACTATTAGGCGAAGACTGCATTAAATAATCGAAAAAATTTAATGAAATATTTGTAAAAGACAAAATAATATTACTAGATAA